AAAATTTAAAAAAATTAAACGGGGCAAGGACCCCCCTTAAGCGGGTAAATGGGCAAGGACATGGCAGGGAATTGCTTGGCGGGGTGGGGGAGGTTGCCCTGACCCCTCCCCGTTGCAATCCCTATTACCATACTTAAAATCTGAAAATCTAAGAACACAGTGCCACTCTTTTTAAATGTAAATTACCCACACAAGATGATTAACAAAATATCTAGTTGTTCAATAGAAAAATAAATAAAATTAGATGCGAGTTATGCATCCATTCTCTAAGAAAAGGATGCAAAATATTCTAGTACCTTTTTTGTTCGGGTGGACTGTTATGTTGTAACTCAAATTCCATATAATTTGGAAGTTAGATTCGGGAAGGAAGCCTAAATAAATTTGATTTGAAAGCCCGGATAGATAAAAGACCAAATTTCATTAAGGATTGAGAATTTGATTGGGAAAATGACTTTGGAATGAATAAAAATGCATTTGGAAGTGCTGGGGCGACAGGGCACTAGATCCATGGTGCCGTAACGCCACATGTTCTGGTAGAATCTGATTTTGACCGTGATTCTTGTATTTTACTTCATTCAAAACTCCAAAATTTGGCTCCTATATATATTCTACGAGGTGTAGACTCTTCATAGACCCAACTAACAATAAGATCATTGTTATATACATTAGAAACTTGAAAAAACTGTTTAGATTTAGATTGAGAGTATCAAATATTGTAAAACAATTTTAGTTTCTTAATATATTGAAATTCTCCCCATTTTCTATATAAATCTTGTATTCTTGTGTGATTGATTATTTTCATATTGCTCTTATTTTCTCGTCTTTATTATTTGGTCTGGTTATTAACAAATTGGTATCAAAGCCAAAGTTTTTTTTTTTTTTTTGCGGTTGTTGGAAGGTCCAAATTGGTTATTAAAGCAATGTTTGAATAATGTCAATTGTTTTAAAGATGACAACTATGAAATTTGAGATTCCGCTTTAGGAAAGAAATAATAGATTTTTTTATGGTAGATTTATATGCGACAGTTCTTGCTCAATTGGACTTGGATGATGCATTGTCGGGGGTGGATAAAATGCCCACAATAATGACTACGGAGGAGAAGCAACGTAAGGATCGAAGCTCTATTACAGTTACATCTTCATCTTTCTAATCAAATTCTTCAGGACATGATAAATGAGAAAAATGTCGTTGAATTGTGTTTAAAATTGGAACAGTTTTGTATGACAAAGAGCTTAATCAATAAGTTACACTTGAAGTAGCGTTTGTATTCTCATCACTTGATAAAAGGTGGATCTTTAGAAGATCATTTCTCAGTGTTCCAGGAAATCGTAGCTGATTTGGAGACCATGGAGGTCAAGTATGATGAAGCTTTATTCTAAAGAGAAGAAGCATCTGGTCGTTGAATCTGAGGCCCAAACAGAGTGTCTTGTTATTCGTGAGAGGAAGACATGTGGTCATGAAAGTGACAGAATGAAAGATAACAACAATGATAAAATCTGTTGGTATTGCAACAACAATGACACATGAAGAAGGATTGCTATGAGTTGCGAAACAGGAATATGTAATGCCTCGAAACCTATGTTCCCGAAGGTTATTCAATTAATTCATTTAGCCATTATAAAAATTGATTGATACATCNAAAAAAAAAATAAATAAAAAAAAAAAAAACAAAAAAAAAAAAAAAAAAATGAAAAACTTTGCAGAATAAAATAAGTTATTTTATTGTCTCATAACATGCCAAATAAATTCAATTCACTAATGAAATATAAATCCATCGATTTTGAAAAATAAAATTCTCATTTGCAAAATAATTTTCTAACTAAATACTGAAAAAAAAAAATTTAATTCTTGATCTCACGACACGGACTTTGCCAGGAGTCTCAACCATCAACTCCGATCTATCAAGCATCTGTAAGATATTTTAAATGTGGAATGAGCATACGAATACACTTGGTATAGATTCTATGCCATTATTTTCACAGTTTAATATAAAAAAGTAAGTAAATTACGCACATAACTTAACTTCTCTAGTGGGATAGAAATCCGATTGTCTCATTCACTTAGGTCATATCCATTCTCAATCTCCACTTAAGGTATTTAGCACTATGGCTGGTTTCCGTGTAGATTTACATAATAATACCCAATGGTATTACCCACAAGATTCTTCTTTAATTTGGATTACTTTAATTAAAACATTAAAAAGTGAAAACACAAAACCACTTGGTACATATAGAAATTTATACCTTGTTCGTTAAATTACTTGTGTACTTGAACGACTTAGGACTTAAAATTCTTGCGAAAGGATCTCGAACGCTTTTATTTCTTCTCTCTCTCTCTCTCTCTCTCTCTCTCATTTGCCGTGAACTGAGTGCAAGCCACACGATTATTAAATAGTGGCCATAAGATTAGGATGAATTACATACTTAGACTTCTAATATAATTCTTAATTTAAAATTAAATTGGACTCTTAACACGCCAATCAACTTATCATAAAATTTGAATTTAAGAGAATTTTAACTAAATGAGGATAAAATTTCAGTGTGAATATATATAAATTTCAAGTTTCATCTAATTACTTTTATATCAGATAATTCAATAATAATTTAATATATATCCAATAATATTAAATCATAATTAGCAATTAACAACTATCCTAATTAAAATAGAATTACAATTAACCTTTATAATCTTACCCATGAACTTGCATTGAAACTAGTATTTGAATTGAAAGAATGAAGAGTAGCAAAGTCTAAGATAAGTGGGATTACTATTTAACTGTTAATCTATCAAAATAAATATAAAATAACAATTAGTATTTAAGTAATACACGTGAAATGTGGCTGTACAATCAAATCCTACCAGCTTAATTACAAATTCTAATCAAACAAAAAAAAACAAATATTCCCCAAGTACAGGGAATATTTACAAAATTTGTAGTAGCATCCTGTCCATCTGTGTTTTTTCCCTTTTTCCCAAACTGTGAATCTGAACCGTGAATTTCAAAATCCTGTATAAAATCTGTAAGAATTCCCTGTACCTATAGACTTGTTCAAAAAAAAAAAAGGTTAGTTGGCTGCCATATTATCAAACTCTTAACCAACAAAATTAATTACCACTAAAAAGATAATATCTTACCATGTCAATAACTTGGACTTAATGTATCTGAATTAATTTTTTCTCGAGTACATGGTTCGTCGTTTAATACGAACTATACAACTAGCCCAAAATATATATATTAAAATTTGCTCTATCAAAATCTAATAAATTTGACCCAAACAAAAAAAAAAGAATTAATACCTACTTCGCTTTAACCCTTCAATTTTCGAAAATATAAAAATTTAGCTTATAGAAATAATTAAATTTTATAAAAATTCGGGACTATACAGAATAAGTTTATTACTACAGATTAGAAGGGACAATCAAGAAATTCTATTAATGCCCGTCTTGCAAAAGAAGATTGCAGTGATGGAGATCTTTTTCGCGATTACTTACGGTGACTCCAAACTTGATGAGGATTTAATTCTTGATATGGCTTACATTTTTCATACGTGTTCTAATTGAGATTTGTTTTCTTCATATGAAACAGTTATAAGGGTTCATATGGTGATGAGAAATAATAAGCCTTGTAAAATGTCTTAGTAAGGTCAAAATTGATATGTTTGATGGACGGTCATGACACTTGGTTTAGTGAGACATGTTCCAAATTTAAACAAAAATATAATCTCCTTTAGAAATCATGATTTAGAAGGGTATCGGTATACCGACATAGGTGGAGTTCTAAAAGTTAGCAAATGTGTCGGGTTGTGTTAAAGGGGTGGAGAAAGTCCCGGATATATGTTTTCGAAGGTTTGACGGTCACTGTGTAAGCAGCTGCAGCTTATGGTTTGATAAGTAGTAACTCAAGTAGAGTTGGTTGTGGTCGGGTTGCTCGTGGTGATTCGAGCAATGATATTGGGAAATTTCCTAGCTTGTTGTGATCTTGTTGATCGTGGTGATTCGAGCAGTTTTGACAACTCAAGTGGAGTTGGAAGTGATATTGGCGATTCAAGAAGGTTTGGTGACTCGGCTGGAGCTGGTAGTGAATCAGATGATTCAAGTAGGTTTGACATGGTAGGTAGTTTTACTGGTAAGCAAGGCTAGAATTTTGTTCACAGTTGTTGAGTATGTCCGGAAGGAACATGGGGTGCTTGGAAGGGACATTATGGAAGAGGTGGAGAAAGACTAGAAGAGTAAAAACTTAATTCATTGCTATGAAATGTGTATCAAGGTGGATTTTGTTATGTTGTGACTCAAATGTCATGTGATTTGGAAGTTTGATTCATTGATAAAGCCTAGATAATTTTGGTTTGGAAGTCCAGATAGATAAGAGATCAAATTTCATCAAGGATTGAGAGTTTGATTGAAAAATGACTTTGGAATGAATAAAAATGCGTTTGGAAGTGTTTGGAATAGTAGGCTGACGTCGGTGTGTCACTAGGTATAATCCGATTTTAACCGCAATTTTTGCATTCTACTTCATTCAAAACTCTAAGATTGGCTCCTATATATACTCCATGAGGTGTAGGCTATTCATAGACTCTAACTAATAATAAGTTCATTGTTGCATATATTAGAAACTTGAGAGGGTTGCTTAGATTTAGATTGAGAGTATAAAATCTTGTAAAACAATTTTAGTTTCTTAGTATATTAAAATTCTCCTATTTTTCCACATAAATCTTGCATTTTTATGGGATCTATTATTTTTCATATTGCTCTTATTTTCTGGTCTTTATGTGTGCAGGTTATTAGTGAGAGACATATTAAAGAAAAATATCAAATAACGCAAAATAAAATAAAAACAAAAGAGGTAAGAATTAAAAATAGAATTAACGCGTAGCTATATATACTAGTGAATAATACACAAACTGGTCCAGACAGCAAAGTGTCGTACGAATGAACAGGTTACATTTAAATCTATCCAGCGACGAGGGTCGAGGAGGATATTATGGTATTTCAATGTTTAATACTTGTTATCATCTGCACTGGAAATCATAGAAATGTAGTTACCAAATATGATATATTATAAAACTCCCTGACAGTAGATGGTTTTGGGGAAAATATAATTAATGGTGGAACTAAAAGTATCTTCAACATATTAGCATTCTTGAATGGGAACCAAGTTTAGCTTGCCTCCGTATGTTTCTGGAAGTTGACTCTCATCAATGTCTTGAAGCAGGGTCGATTGTAGTTTTTTATTGTCAACAAAGATAATCTGCAGATATTTGATAATCATAAACCAGGATCAACTAAAAATAGGTTATATCTGTTAGTTTTGCTCATCCGGAGCAGCCCAAAGTAATTATGTTCCCAACTTAAAACTGATACAAAACATCCAAAACAGAAACTATGACATTGTAGTTGTAACGAGTTATAAAGACCTTTAAACAAAATGACCGTAAAGAATGGTCATAAGACACTATTGTGAAATCATTCCTCTCCAATTACACAGTGCAGTTGTGTCATTTATGTATAATAAGAAATAGAGCAAAAGGAGACATTTTACCTTCTTCTTCGTATTTTTGTCAATAAATGGGTAAACCATCTTCCATGCAGTCATGAATATGTAAGGAGCATGGATTATGAACATCTTGCCTAGCCTCTCTGGGTAGCAGTCCTGTCATCAAATACAATCAGAAAACCGACATAAGCTTCCATTGTGAATTTGTTTGGTTCAGTAGGCTGACTTGGCTCTCATGATTATCACATGAAAAGAGCAAAAACCTGCAAAATTGAGACAGCAGCTAGGTATCCACGGATATCACTGTTAGCGTATCCCCATCCTTCTAGGTCAGCAATGGCAGTGAACTTCTCATGTCCACTGGGCATTCTGAAAAAAATCAATTAAGTGGATAATTATGACAGAACTATGTAATGTTCTAATAATGGAAATGGACATACACGTTAGTTCCATAACTGGAACTGACAAGAAGGGACAGGGCCTTTTACTTTTCCTGTGCGTGGGGTGAGAGTGAAAATATGTTTTGAGGAGTTTTCAAGTCAGTCTAGTTCTAAATGAGCCAATCTATCGTATGAAACCAAAAAAATAGCCTCTCATATGTAATATTCAACTTTTCCTTAGAAGAAAAGGGATAAATTAATATTTTTAGGGAGTTGAATTACCTAGCACAAATTTTGTCAAGGGTATAAGTGACATAACCTGTAAAAGAAGAGGGATGAAGATTTTAGCATGAAATCGGTGATACTGAAACATGTGTGTGATTGTCATGAGGTCAGATGTTGTAGTGATGAACCATGGTAACATTCCTGTCCCAATTCCTCTAAGAAAGTTACAACTTTGTAAAAGCTCTAGGTAATATATATTGCAGAAAACCAGCAGAATAATCAGAATATAGATGGAGACGCTTTGCCCTTTACCAAGCCAATTTAATTATTAGAGAAGTTAATTGTCCAAAAAATTGGAAACAAAGTATGTAGGAGTATACTTGAAACAACTGTAAATTAAAACAGGAAAAGTGAATAAAATACTGCATATTGTTGCATACGCTTAAACTCTTCCACACTCGTGGGCTTATGCCGTTCAGCAAAGACAAGTACTATTGGGCGTCCAGTCTTATCATGTCCTTGCATAAATAACTTATCATGGGCAAGATCATTTGGAATTTCAGATGGTGATATGAAACCATTTGGAACAAATTCTTTCCTCCAACTCAGGTACTTCAAAAACATAGCTGAAGCCTTTTCAACGTCTAGATCACGAGCTCGGAGAAATCTACGGATCATAAAATCATCAGCTTCCTGAATCCAGAGAAGCAATATTCTCATCAGGTCCTTGTGAGCTATCAAAATATGATGTTAAAACACAAAAAGAGCCACTTCATTTTTTTCTTCATTTTGGGAGAGACAAGCTTGGCCCCAGAGTGTTGGATGTATAGAGGAGGGAGAAGGAAAGGACCCTAGACTGTTGAACTGAATCCATGGAGTTACATATCACTTCGTTACTTGCCATCGGTTATGTCAGTATCCTTATTCCAAGATTTAGATTTGGCACATGAAACTCTATGATCTAATTTGACATATCTATTTCCTCCCTTGTGAATTCTCTGCTATAACTATTCAACAACTTATTCAGTCGTGCATAATCAATCTTTTGCTTTCTCTTGTTCATTTAGGATTACCATTCAACGTGAGGCTAGAGATTATAGGTACTAGTTCATAAACTGGCTGTTAAGTTCTCCATCTTTTCATCCCTACATGATATTCATAGTCACTGATGGCTTACTCAACCTTAATCCTAATTCTTTTTGCAATCAGCTAATAGCAGAGTTCACCGCCAGACTTGGAAGTTGTCAACAAACAGGACCTTAAGAGCAAATCCCCACATCTCCTAAAAAAAATAATAATAATAATAACCAAATTATAAGGAATTGGGCTGTTCCGTTATGGAACCCTAATACCATTTCTTCAATTTCACGTGTCTTGTATATTTCAATTTACTGGCCATTAAAAAAGTTCCATAGGGCAAGTAAAGCAAATTATAAAATGGTTAGGTGCAAAAAAGTGTTGATCAAGAAAATTAATATCAAGTGACAGAAAATCAAAGGTTTTGGTACCTTAGCGGAGGGATCTTGAGCTTCGACACAAGATCTCATGATTCCAATCTTACTGCGTTCTACCTCTTCTTGATCTTCTAAGCTGTCTTCTTTTACGTCTGATGAACCAATTTGGAAAGACTGGAATTTTTGACGCAGATACGAAGTCATCTTCCTTCTTCTACCTCGTTCTTGGGATGCCCTCTCTTCTCCAATTCAACTTCTCTCTGTGTAAGTAATAAATATTAAAAATGGGGCGTTGGGTTTGGCAGATGTTATTAGATGCTCTTTATTGGTGGACTTAGTTTATTTCTTGATTTTTCTTTTTGGCATTAAAGGATTGAACTACATTGTTTCAATAATTAATGCAAAAATGGACCACACTGACAACTAGTTTAATCTTGACTCTACACCTCTCCCTAAACTAAACTCTTTTTCAGATATTAAAATCAAAATTCAGTAGATTTAATAAAAGTTGAAGATGTATAGATTGAAAAATTATGAGTGAAATATGTTTTTAAAATTAATTATGACTTTGATTTAAATTTTAATTTTTATCGAACATGGATTAAAGTGTATTCCTATAGGGGGTCAACCTTTTTATAACATCCGTATCCCCAATTTGTTAACAATGTGCGCTATTCAACGAAGAATGTCTATATAGTAGTTAAATGACCATCTGATATATGCACATAATGTCCGACTAAAAATGTAAAATTATCCAAATAAGAAATAGGAATATTAATATCTATAATATATTAAATATCGCATCAAGTGAGAATTATTTTCTGGATGATTTTAGCCTCACTACAATTTAATTATTTCAATAGTACCTCTACTTTTCATTTTTCAATATATATTTAATTGAATATTAATTATTAAACATGCACGCAAATAAATAATTGAATTGTATGAGAACAATCAAATTGATTCATGAATATGGAATTTAATTAAT